GATGTGGTGTGTGTGTGAGGGTTTCAGACCCCGCCGAACACTGTAAGATGGTGTGTGTGTGTGTGTGTGTGAGAGAGGGTTTCAGACCCTGCTGAACATTGTAAGATGTTGCGTGTGTGTGTGTGTGAGGGGTTCAGACCTTGCTGAACACTAAGATGTTGTGTGTGTGTGTGTGTGAGGGGTTCAGACCTTGCTGAACACTAAGATGTTGTGTGTGTGTGTGTGTGAGGGGTTCAGACCTTGCTGAACACTAAGATGTTGTGTGTGTGTGTGTGTGAGGGGTTCAGACCTTGCTGAACACTAAGATGTTGTGTGTGTGTGTGTGTGAGGGGTTCAGACCTTGCTGAACACTAAGATGTTGTGTGTGTGTGTGTGTGAGGGGTTCAGACCTTGCTGAACACTAAGATGTTGTGTGTGTGTGTGTGTGAGGGGTTCAGACCTTGCTGAACACTAAGATGTTGTGTGTGTGTGTGTGTGAGGGGTTCAGACCTTGCTGAACACTAAGATGTTGTGTGTGTGTGTGTGTGAGGGGTTCAGACCTTGCTGAACACTAAGATGTTGTGTGTGTGTGTGTGTGAGGGGTTCAGACCTTGCTGAACACTAAGATGTTGTGTGTGTGTGTGTGTGAGGGGTTCAGACCTTGCTGAACACTAAGATGTTGTGTGTGTGTGTGTGTGAGGGGTTCAGACCTTGCTGAACACTAAGATGTTGTGTGTGTGTGTGTGTGAGGGGTTCAGACCTTGCTGAACACTAAGATGTTGTGTGTGTGTGTGTGTGTGTAAGGGTTTCAGACCCCGCTGAACACTGTAAGATGTTGACTGTGTGTGATCTGTCTGTGTGTGTTTCAGCTCTCAAGCAGGATTTGGTTCGGAAACACAAACAGGCTCTGCAGACGTGCAAGTCTCACAATCTGGCCGTTCTGAAAACCAACCAGAGAGCAGAAGCTGAGGTACGATGAGACGCTCTCTGTTTCTCCAGACATGTCTGTGTTTGGCCTTTGTTTTCATATTGTTTTCATATTTGTTGAAGTTGATGACTAAAAAGTAGTTTGACCAATAGAGTGCAGACTGGGCCTAAAATGAACACTCACCAAGTGAAAATCAGCATTGGCGAGTGTGTGAAAGAGTCTGGTATTTTTATTTATTTAGTTATTTAATTAATGCCTGATAACACAATAAGGTGCACAGTTGTTATCAAATCTGCAATTGCTGTGAGTTTGAGTCACTTACTGTATAGCATGCATCTGAAAATGCTACATGAGCCAGACACCTTCTCAAGTTTGTAATGAGAATGGTTTTTAAAGGGAAGTCTCCCTGCGGTTTTCCACCAAAATAAAAGCGCTGTTATTTACTTTTTAAAGCAAAGAAAAAACAACCAAAAATATTAGTATTGTAATTTTACAACGATTACTACTACTACTACTACTAATAATAAATAAAACATTATTATTATTATATAAATTAAAATTATTATTATTAAATATTTGAAATAATTATGAAATAATATTATAGTGATATTTCTTTATTGATTTGTTTATTTTAATACATGTTGGTACTATATTTATTTAATTTGTTAATCTTTCTTGTCTTTATAAAGTCTACATTACACAGTCATCTTTAATAAACATATTAATTATTTTTGACTAATACTAATTTGACATATTAATTATTTTTGACTAATACTAATTTGACATTATTTATTTTTGATTAATATTTTGACTTATACCATAATCATAATAATTAATAAGTAACATTGTTTATTCTACTAAGTGTCTATTGTTTACAGTTGCTGGGCACATTAATGCGTAATTTAGGTGTTACTAGTGTAGCGTCTGGACCACTCAAACACACAATATATATTTTGTTAGCTAGATTTAACAAATACTCTGCAACAGCCCAGGAAGCCGAACAGGCCCCTGGTTCCATAGCAACTCTGACACCAGATACATTTACGATCGAAAGGAATGTGAGCAGAGAGAATCTGACCGCATTTTCCAGAGAAAGAGGCAAATGCACAGTAGAAATTGACTTTTCTACTAATTAATTCATAGGAAAACCTTTCTTTGAATGAACAGTGTATCCTTCAGGTCATTGTGTATATTATTAGTATTGATTAATATTTTGAATTAGGTTTTGTTTTATATTTTCGTATTTGTTATGTCATATTAATATTGTTATTTTTTATTATTTTTAATCTTTTTTTTATTTTATAAACTTTCATTTGTATTTATTTCAGTTTTAGTAAGTTTCAGTTACTCAGTGCCAAGGCATCATATCCCTCTAAAATGCAGTGAAATCAGTTCAGAAATGTACACAATCTGCCAAAATCATGGCATGTCAGAAGGTGGGGTCTGCAGAGAACAGTCAAAGCAATGCAAATACACACATAATGCAATTGGAAAACAACAAAAAAATTGAGATTTGCTGAATAAATAAGCTTTCCATTGATGTATGGTTTGTTAGGATCAGACAATATTTGGC